GGGCCTGGCCGGGGAGGGGGCTGCTGCCTCGGCCCCCGCTGTCCCCAGCGTCAGCCTGACCCTTGACCCTTGTCTCTGCAGCTTCGATGATATTGACTTGCCGTCAGCAGTTAAGTACCTCATGGCCTCAGACCCCAACCTGCAGGTGCTGGGCGCAGCCTACATCCAGCACAAGTGCTACAGCGATGCGGCGGCCAAGAAGCAGGTGACTGCCCTGCGACACCCCTGTGACCCCACCCTCCCTGACCTCTGGCCCCTGACCACCCTCCCTGACCTGTGGCCCCTGAAAACCTTCCCTGACCTCTGGTTCATGACCACCCTCCCTGACCTCTGGCCCCTGACCACCACCCCTGACCTCTGGTTCATGACCACCCTCCCTGACCTCTGGTTCATGACCACCCTCCCTGACCCCTGGTTCATGACCACCCTCCCTGACCCCAGGGGACTGTGCTGGCTTCATTTGCCAGAGTCTCCTCAGCAGAGGAGGAGCAGGAGGGAGTGGTTTGCATATGTCTGCATACACTGCACACCTCTGCACACACCTGTATACACCTGCATTCGTCAGCACACCTCTACACACCTGCCACACCTGCCTATACCTCCATTCTGTATCCTCCTGCACACCTTTGCACACCTCTTACACATCTGCACACCTCTGTACACATCTGCACACCTCTGCACACCTGCACACACCTGCCTATATCTGCATTCTGTATCCCCCTGCACACCTCTTACACATCTGCACACCTCTTACACGCCTGCACACCTCTGTACACACCTGCACACCTCTTACATGCCTGCATACCTCTGCACACCTCTGCACACGCCTGCACACCTTTGTATGCCTCTGCACACCCGTGCACACACCTGTACAGTGTGCACACGTGGGCTAACAGCGCGTGCTGTGCCTGCAGGCCCGCAGTCTTCAGGCCGTGCCCCGGCTGGTGAAGCTCTTCAACCACGCCAACCAGGAGGTGCAGCGTCACGCCACGGGCGCCATGCGCAACCTCATCTACGACAACGCGGACAACAAGCTGGCCCTGGTGGAGGAGAACGGCATCTTCGAGCTGCTGCGGACGCTGCGTGAGCAGGACGACGAGCTGCGCAAGAACGTCACAGGTGCCGGGCGGCCACCCCTCTGCCTGTGTCCCTTCTCCTGTCCCACCTCTCTCCTTGGTCCCGTGGCCACCCTGGGGCGGGTGTCCAGTGCCCAGGGCCATGTCCCCGGGCCGCACGCCAGCTGTCCCCAGGGGGCGC